TTCGTGTAAATTGATAACTCAAGTACCTGAGAGGCTAAAGGAATGTAATTTTAAGAGGATATACCCTGTCCACCGAAGTTTCATTCAACTCGAACCCAGCTGTCAGGTATGCTTGGGCCCATGAAAATTTTGTTTCAGTAAGTTGCTAACTCAAGCGCCAGGAAAGCTAGTAAGCTGAAATTTTAAGGGGATGTTTTCTGACGGTTCTGGCGGCCAGTCTTAATTTATTTAGCTAGAAGCATTTGCCGAAAGAACCGGTGCCGGTAGCAACAAATACTGCGGGGAACCATGCAAAAAACGCATCTTAGCACGGGCAGCCCGTGCGTTGGCCAATTATTTCATTTCTTTAAGTAGGTACTCGCATGCCTAGCATCGTGAGAATTCAAATATCGCGCTGTTTCTAGAATCAGTTTTCCTCGATCCAGTGGTAAACAACTTTCTAAGTACGCCGCTGGAGCTTATTTTTTCAAACCTACAGCAAAATTCAGAAATCTGTCAACTATTTGAGCGACACAGTAACAACTGATATGTGTTGTCAGAAATGTACCTTTTATCAAATGTGTTGTCTTCAAAAGCAAAAAAGCAAAGAACTCACAAAAAAATGGTTGCAAACTACCGCTATAGAGAACAACTACTGACCAGCACAGAGAGCAGCAACACCGGCCATTCCGGGTGTTACACTGATAATCACTTCTTGCCATATTGTCGTCCAACCTTCCATATTTTTGCTGCTCGGTAAGTAGAGCATTGCCCTGCAATGCTCATTAGTTTTGAAAAAGTGGGTGAAATTTGAAAATAGGTTGTGAAATGCTGGGTGGATACGGTAGTCAGAAATACAAAGATAACAGCTCTAAAAGTTAAATTCAAATTACCCAGAAACGATTCCCGTATCATAGCCGAATAGCAGACCGCCCATTGCTGCCATTAGTGTTAGCAGGTAGATGTAGGTATTTGGCTTCGTTCGTTTCTCCGGTCCTTGGTGGCCATGAATTTGGTCATTGTCAGCCTAAGAAAATGGTCTTTAAAATTTTTCGTTAAAAAATGCGTTGTTGGAAGTTAATACTGGCATATCTTAGTGAATTTTCAATCACTCCAGTGCAGAAAATACTAAAATTCCGTATTCATAATGTCCCTCGATTTGTAATCTTAGCACTAGCCCGCATTTATGTGTACCACCACGAGTTAGAAAATGTTAAGGTTTGATATGTGATTATTAAATTATTCAACCAAACCTGAGGGGCGCATAAACCACTACACGTCTGTACCTAGGTTTGCATTTTGAATCCAATTACTGTGAAAAAAAAAAAAATGCTTACAACTGCTACTTGCACCATCGGGCGAGTTCTGCGACGCAGCTACCTGAAAAACGACAGGTGCATATAAGCAGACATTCAGCAAACATCCAGT